TTGTTGCTCAACGAACCCAGCCGTCTGAGTTTAATTCCCAGCCACGGCTAACAATCTGCGGCCGATTATATTTAAACCGGTCCCTAAATTTTCCCTAGATCGACTCATCCTCAACAACGAGGACCTGGTGCACTGTGTAAACATCAGCACTGGGGGAGACAAAGCCGGCCCGGGCACAGTGCTGGCCACAACGCCTCCTCGTGCCACGCGAGCCTAACAATAGGCACTGTACTCGCTGACAGCACTTGGCCCAAGTCAAGATTACACGGGGGACCTTTGTCTTTTTTGTGTATGGCTATGTGTGAGTGTGTGTGTCTGTGAGAGGGGGGATGACTTAACCGACCACATTTAACAGCATTTCCCTGTACGTTAAAAATACAACTTCGCACTCTTGGCGAGCGAACAGCAAACTTCACACGGCTAACGTGGCTTTTCTGTCCGACGGGTGACAGCACCTGAAAAAAGGCATGCTAGGAGCCACTTTTAGCAACTCCACCACAGCCTCACTTTTCTTTGCCTTTCATGTGAGGCACACAGCTGCCTTAGATCCCGCAATGGTTTAAGCAAAACATTGGCTTTTACTCGGGACAAAACCAAAACAAGCAAAACTGTTTTTCCTGTGGCACAGTTTCTGTGCATTGCCTTTTTCTCCCCCACTCACCCACCCACCCCCACCCTGAATGGGGGTCATAGGGCGTTGCAGGCAGGGAGAGAAAGCATTCCATGCGGCACAGATCCCCTTTCTCCGGCCCGGCAGCCCCCATGCCTGCACCTCTCCTTGCCAGGGATTTGTTATGCATACCTCAAAGTTCATCAGTCACAGGGCAGCCCTCCTCCTCCCTCTCCTAACTCAGCCTCCAGTTATTCCCTCTGTGTCCCTCCCGCGCCTCCTCCACTCGTAACGCTGTCATTGTCCTCCACGCACCACCGCCACCCCCCAACTCAACCACCCCTGCCTTGCCCTCTTCCCCTCTCCAACGGTTAATTTCTTTGGCGTTTTACGCCTGTCCGACACTTGCGGTGGAGTGTGTCCGTCTGCCAACTGGGACCGTGTCTGCGTTCGTCGGCCCGTCCGCGTGACTGTGCGCGTTCTGGGGGACGTCTGTGCAGATTCCGCGTGCGTGCTTCTTTTGTGTCGATGTTAGTTTGCCTGTTTTGCCGGCCCCTGTTGTGCACTCAATCTACCTTTCTGTGTGGAGTTGTCCGTGCAGTTTTCCAAGTCTGTAAAACTGTCAACGCGTGCACTCAGTCTGTGTCCCAGCAGTCTGCCTGTGTCCCAGCAGTCAGTCTGTGTCGCAGCAGTCAGTCTGTGTCGCAGCAGTTTGCCAGTCCAGCCATACTTCTCCATATCCATCTTTAAAGTAATTTGTCTGAGCCAACTTTCGTGACTGGAAATTAATTTAATTGAATATTGATTAACTTCGTACACTGTATTCTATTTAAGAGCTATATAGCTCAGTAGACCTTACCTAGTAAAATAAAAACATAGCTTTTATTAGTTTAGACTCGGCCTCAAATGATTACCTGGTGTGATGTGTAAACATCGCCACTGGGGAGGAAAAGGCGACCGGACGTGCTTCTACCCCTCGTGTGCCGTGCAGACCTTCATATGTGGTTTAAAAAAAAATCTATAATTTCTACGTGGCTGTTTTACTTCCATTTTTATTTGCTTCATTGTTCCACTACGTTTTGTATGTTATTGATTTTGTCATTTCGGTGAGCCGGGTCACTGTTGCCAATGAGACAATAATTCCTCATCTCTGGTGGAGTTCTCACCTGGTTACACACAATAAACTCGTAACGTCTCTCTGTACCCTCTGCCACAAACACTCTCACAGAGTCAACGTCTCCCAGTACCCTCTACCACAACCACACTCACTCACAGAGTCAACGTCTCCCAGTACTCTCTACCACAACCACACTCACTCACAGAGTCAACGTCTCCCAGTACCCTCTACCACAACCACACTCACTCACAGAGTCAACGTCTCCCAGTACTCTCTACCACAACCACACTCACTCACAGAGTCAACGCCTCCTAGTACTCTCTACCACAACCACACTCACTCACAGAGTCAACGTCTCCCAGTACCCTCTACCACAACCTCACTCACTCACAGAGTCAACATCTCCCAGTACCCTCTACCACAACCACACTCACTCACAGAGTCAACGTCTTCCAGTACCCTCTACCACAACCACACTCACTCACAGAGTCAACGTCTCCCAGTACTCTCTACCACAACCACACTCACTCACAGTCAACGTCTCCCAGTACTCTCTACCACAACCACACTCACTCACAGTCAACGTCTCCCAGTACTCTCTACCACAACCACACTCACAGTCAACGTCTCCCAGTATTCTCTACCACAACCACACTCACTCGCAGTCAACGTCTCCCAGTACCCTCTACCACAACCACACTCACTCACAGTCAACGTCTCCCAGTACTCTCTACCACAACCACACTCACTCACAGTCAACGTCTCCCAGTACTCTCTACCACAACCACAGTCAACGTCTTCCAGTAATCTCTACCACAACCACACTCACTTACAGAGTCAACGTCTTCCAGTACCCTCTACCACAACCACACTCACTAACAGAGTCAACGTCTCCCAGTACCCTCTACCACAACCACACTCACTCACAGAGTCAACGTCTCCCAGTACTCTCTACCACAACCACACTCACTCACAGAGTCAACGTCTCCCAGTACCCTCTACCACAACCACACTCACAGAGTCAACGTCTCCCAGTACCCTCTACCACAACCACACTCACTCACAGAGTCAACGTCTCCCAGTACTCTCTACCACAACCACACTCACTCACAGAGTCAACGTCTCCCAGTACTCTCTACCACAACCACACTCACAGAGACAACGTCTCCCAGTACCCTCTACCACAACCACACTCAGAGAGTCAACGTCTCCCAGTACTCTCTACCACAACCACACTCACTCACAGAGTCAACGTCTCCCAGTACTCTCTAGCACAACCACACTTACTCACAGAGTCAACATCTCCCAGTACCCTCTACCACAACCTCGCCACGTCAACCCGCGGCGACTCAAGGCTCCATAATTAAAATCGCATCGTCTGAAAATGTTTTTAATGTTACAAGTCTCTCCAATGTCATAATTTCCCGTTTTATATATAGTATATATTTGTATGTTTGCCCTGTTTATTTTTAAATGTCTTTTCCACCGATGCGATTGTTTATAGTTTTTGTCCTGTTCCGAGATTGTGAATTGTGGTGTAACGACCCCACTCTGTCAGGCTATCGTCGTTCCCTTGTGTGCATTGCGCTTTCTTCATCAATCCCGGTTGCCTTTCAAGTGCAAGATGGAAATGGACAAACATCCCAAATTGCAGGACCCTCCTGAAAAAACAAATCTCGACGCTTCAGCAACGATTTTCTGGGTAAAATTACCGGCAGATTAATTCCAATTAGTTTTTTGAAATGAATATATTATTGTCTGTGCTGAATCTGTCTTGTCTGTTGCTTTCTGTACCACACATCTTCATGTCTGTGTAATTCGAATATCGAATGTGTGTCTGCACATATAGTCTTATGTGTGTGTCTGTCTATGCATTCAGTCTCGATGTGTATGTCTCTCTTTCAACCTGTGTGTCTGTCTTTGTGTGCAGCCAGCCTCTATGTGTCTGTCTCCCAGGTGCCCCCCCCCCCCTAATCTACACGCATGCCCCACACTAAGCCTCCCTGCTGTGAGCACCACCGAGACAAATGCAAAGCAGAGCGTCCCGGGCAAATGACTTCTACAGGACCGACCACTCGCCTACACGCACCAATCCCTCCACACGCCCGCCTGCCCAAACAACAATAGACAAAGTTCCCCCGTATAGCTTTTAACAGACTGTCAGGGCAAGTGCTGTAAGTGAACACCTACGAAGGACCACGTCCGGCCGTCTTTGTCTCCCCAGTGGCGATGTTTACACATCACACCAGGTACCTATTTGAGGCTGAGTATAAACTATTCAAAAAGTTTTAATTCACGAGGTAAGGCTCACCGAGTAATATATCTCTTTTTCAGAAGCGACCTGTCCACAAAGGATAGCTCAACGAAGTAGATTATCACGTGGAAATGTGTATTAGTCAAATACTCTAAAAGCATGTTTCTAAATGTGGAGGGATATACAGGAGAAAAATATACAGGCACCAAAGGTTGGGATCGAACCCACGACCTCCTGTATACCAGGCGAGGCATTTAACATCGCCACCGCAACACTCTGAGTCGACCTAGGGGAGGCCCAGGACGGGTTCAGATAATCATCACTGGTGTTGGCCGTGAGCTGGAATCGAACTCGGGTCGCCAGGTTTGTCGCACAGTGTGCCAACCACTACACGACCACCGGCCCCCACATAGACACGCACGCACGCACTGTCACCATCCACGTACATCAAGGGTGAGAAACATCGAGCCCATGGGCAGATATAGCCCGCATCTTAATTTTACACGGCTCATGGTTGCCACAACCACAGTGGGACAATGTGTCTACAAACTCCAAACTCATGGCTCGTATAACCTCACACTGCTCCAAATATGGATTTGAAGGCAGTGTATGCATCTTAAATTCACCAACTCTCAGACAAAGCATTACAATGACTAAATACATTTCCAAGTGAAATTCCAATAGTTGGTCTTCGTAGGCCATACCAATGAATAAGATGGTCCATGGTCACATACATCTCTGCAAATCATCTCAGGCCCCTTACCCACATAAATCACGTGAATTCAGTGTGGCCACCCGCACTCTAAAATCCTCCCCCCTCTCCCCAACTCTGCCCACTGTGAAAACAGACGCTGCTCCTCCATACAGCTCGTTCCTTCTCTGCCTGTCCCTTTCTTCCCTCCCTTCTCATCCTCGGCATCTACGTTATATCATTGACTTGCTCTATTTTCCGTGGTTTGTCCCGGGTAAGGTGGGGGGGGGGGGAGTTATATATATACATACAAAGAGATACAATTATCCAAGATTCGAGGTTCACAACGACCTGCTTGTGCACATGCACCTTTATTAATGGGAAGAAATGCTTCGAAGAGCGCTACCTTACACGCTGCACAATTACAAACAACACTAATCGCTAATATTTACAAGTCAAAACTTGTTATTTGCAAAATTGCTATTATGCGTACGTTCGTGTATAAAAAGTACTTTCTTTTACAAGCCGCTTCACTTCTTTGCTCAAAATAAATGCAACGCGCATTCAGAAACCGACAACAGCACACTCGGGAGTGGGGAAAGACTAAACAGCATATAGTACAAATCGACTTCTTGGGTCATATATTAAGCATCTGTGTCCTCATCGCCGCCTATTGGCTCTAATTTCTTCCGCCAGTTCTGTGTGCATGCTCTCGTCTGTGTGCTTGCACGATTCCCTCTGACGAGATTCCCGTCGTTCACCGACAGCGTTAGAATTCGAGCTATGGGGCGTCCAGTCCCATCTGTGTGGAGTCTCTCGCGTTCCAATCGCTCTAGACACTCGAAGAGTTTTTGTTTCCATTGCGACATACAACCACTGCAAAGGTTTTAGCGGTTGAGCCGCAGATTGGCTCTCCGATGCGTTTTTGGGGGCCGCGCCGCGTGTTCCGTCGGCACGACGTCGGATGTTTCGCTCCACGCGTGCCGGAAGCTTCTTCAGAGAACTTGAGAAGCTTCAGCTAGCATAGCGGCATTCGAATCCTCCAGCCGTTTGTTCCTGCCTCTGAACTTTCCATCAGGAGTTGGGAGAGCCGCCGACGCCCATCAAAACCACGGCGACAAGGGCAAGTGCCGCGACCACGGGGGCCGACGGTCTCAGCGCTCCGGGTCCTCCTCCCCGCTGCTCCCGACTGCTCACCACCGCCAGTGGCGGCGCCAGCTCCACGGCATCCTGCGACGCGAACGCGGCCGCCTGCGCGAAGCTCAGGTCGCCCGTCGTGAGCAGGTCGAACACGCACGTCTCAAAGTAAGGATCGTCGACCGACAGCCTCTCCTCGCAGGCCGCGCGCGCAGTTCGTGCCGTGAATACGCCTGCAGTCCGGCCATCGCCACCGCCGCCGCCATCGCCAGCGCCGCCAGCTTCCTGGTCCAGCCGTTCCGTGCCGGGGCAGCCGCGCCAGCACAGCTGCAGGGCCTGGCCCAGGCTCTCGTCGTGGTCGTAGGCCTCGGCGACGTGCGCCGGCGTGCGGATGGCGAAGGTCAGGTAGCGTCCCACCTGGCGCACGGCCACCGTGGTGCCGATGTAGACGGCCGAGATCTCGACGTGCCGGCCGGGCACCTTCTCGGTGACGAGAAGGCCGGAGGCCGCATACTGCCGCCTACCCAGGCCGCCCATCTTGGTGCCGTCAACGAACGCGGCCGGGAGGTCGTCCGTCTCAGCGTGGTAAACCCGCTCGTCCGTGCAGTGCTGCTGGCCCTTGAAGATGATGGTGAGCTGCGGAGACAATGGCGCACGCCGCTCATTAGCTTCGCGACGGACAGGTGCCAGGCTAGCGAGCACTTATTCTTGGGAGGCGCGACCCAATACACAAACCGTCCAGATATCAGCGACCCGCTGGCATTGCACGTCACAGCCAAGATTGAAACCTGGGAAAGCGGGACCGTAGCGGGGCGCGGGAGACGTGACGGCACGACGACGATGGTCGCACCGCGGTTGGGGGGCACGAACAAGCGGGGGCTGCGCTGTCGCCGAAATCCACGACAGATAACCCACGGGGGAGTTTGAATCGTGCGAGGAGTTTTTGAATAACACTGCGCAATAGCGCAGGAGGTTTGCCCGTGAAGTTGAGTCGAGTTTGTAAATGACAAAGAAAAAAAAACAATCACAACAGAATTATCGGTGCAGGCGGGACAACCCTCAGTTTCAAACAACACGCAAACGTGTGTCAAAAGCGCCATGGCCTTTGTAAGTGGTACAAAAAAGCCATCAGTAGCTCACATTTGCTAAGACAAGAGGACCACAGTGCACTAAATAATTTTATTTTTTGTACATACACAATGGCTGCGTGTGCTTTTTTGTACGCGATTTTGCGTCTTGTTTTAAACGTACGAGTGTTGAGTGGTACGCACCCTTGTCTGTGTTGGTGTGTGGTGGGACTTTTTCTGGGCACTCCGGTTTCCTTCTACGTGCCAAGGCACTCATTAATGGGTTTGCCAAAAACCCTCCAAATACAAGACCCTCCTGATATAATAGTCTTGGGACACAGTAAGGCTTACCTGGCTAAATGAGTGGCATTATAAATCGTTTGTTTTACTTTGTTATACCTGGTGAGATCTTAAAAAAACGATTGCAAGTCTCATTTTCAAGAGTGACCTGGGTCATCGAAATTACAAAAGCAATGCCATAACAACCCAAGTATAACAACCCAAGTATAACAACCCAAGTATAACAACCCAAGTATAACAACCCAAGTATAACAACAAAGCAAAGAGAAATCGGGGGCAAAAACAACTTCACCACAGTGCGAGTGCTCTTCGTAAAATCCCGCCATTGCTATTGTTTCACAATTACATCACTTTCATTCCTCCGTCACACATCAACTCGTCTTCTTTAAATGACCATGTGGCAAAAAAAACAACGGTTGTAAGAAAACCAAGTTACAATGAACTCTCCTTACAATGAGAAAGAAAGAGCCTCCATCTCTCCGTGTCAACAAAGGATTCCCTTTATTCTCGAGTCAACGTGGCCATAATTGGTGGGTGGTGTCAACTGCAGTAGACCAATTTGCCCCAATCTCATCCCTTCGTGCCCCGGTCGATAAGCTGCGTTTAAGCTCCCGCTAATTCACCGTCACGTCTCCCCCCCCCGGCCCCCTTCCCTTCCTTGCCAGATAAATGCAGGCGGCCGCCGCTGCCAACACCGCGGAGGGGTGGAGTGGCGGTGGCGTGGTGGATTTTTTCTTTTTTGAATTATTAAAATATTTTAATCTGGATAATCCTGTGAGATGGAACACCTCGTGTTTTTACAAGGGTTGTCCTGGAGCTATCGACTGACGCAAGCGGAACGACCACGCAAATGACTCGCGCCAGAACGTCTTAAAGGTTAGAGCAACTGCCGCTTATGATCCTGCCGACGTCCGAGTTCCATGGCTCAGATCAGTGGCGACGGATATCTGAACCAGTCCCTGGGCCACTCCCTTCACCAACACACACTGCCCAGCGCGGCGAAGCATGGTCAAATGAATCCCATGGCTGAGGAACACAAACACCCAATATATTCGTTAATAACGCTGCGGCTTTACAAATAAAAAGTATGTAAGATGTAATGTTATGGGCAATAGCCCTTCCTTACAGCACATAGAAAGGCCAGAGATGTAGTCAACTCTCTACACACTCTACCTCTCTATGTGCTGTAAAGAATGGCCATGGCCTAAAACGTTGCATTTTGTTTTTAAATCCAGTGTTATTAATCAATGTGTTGAGGTTTTTTGTTCGTTATTCGTGCTTGTGTACCACTGCCAATGCAGCAGCAACAACAAGCATCACCAAATAATTACAGTTTTGTGACTGATGCAGCATGGTCAAACCTTCCTCCAGCAGTGGATTGACAAGGCGTTGACGGTGATTATTTTTGAGATAAACTGGTGAGCGGGTTAAAGTGCACGGGAAGGGGCCGCTGGGTTTGCTTAAGGCCTCTCTCCTCCACACTTGCCGCGACTGCACAACAAAAATCCATGCCCCGTAGTGACGGGGCCGTGATGATGAGGTGGCGATGGCGACAGACGAAGAACAGTAGATGTTGCTGCCGCGTTCCCTCGTTGATTCAATGAACAGACGTGCATCTGCTTCGCCACGCATCATCATCATTGTTATCGTCGTCGTCGTCATCATGACCCATGGGGAGATAGGCCATTGGTGTTTACTGCACATTTCGTCATTTGTTTCCATCATGTGCATTTTGTCTTTTTTTTTCATGGCCGAAGTATCGGCAACCCTTTCACCCGACCCTAATCCTTTTTACCCAGGCTTGGGACTGGGCTCAGATACCCACTGCATTGTGGAGCCCGAGGCGGAGTTAAAGATAACAGGTTCGTCCTAGATTCATCCCCAGTGGCGCAAATTACCTATGGACTACCATGGACCACCTGATTAACACATCTGGCTAACGTGTCAAAAGAGCACCGTCAAGTTCCACCCCATCATGGGACCTCCTTTGCCAGCACCAAAATATGAGAATAGATTTTCCCCTTTTTTCTGGCAACAAAACAGGTGTTAAGATGTTTAAACACCAACATGAAAACTTTTACAAGGAATCATGTCTGAATTAACCACAATACTTGTGGTCAGAATGCAAACAAAAAACATACTCTGATAATTTGATGCATTCTCTTTGAAACTGATTGGTCCACACCAGAGACAGCTTTCTTTCGAGCCTAGTCTCAAACGCCAAAAGGCGTCAAAAGAGCACCATCAAGTTCCATGCCATCAAGTTCCACGCCATCAAGTTCCACACCATCAAGTTCCACACCATCAAGTCCACCCCATCAAATTCCACGCCAAAAGGCGTCCTCTGGTCTAACTTATTCTCAAGTTCCACCCCTTTTAGGAAATCCTCGACCGATGGGCCGGCATGAAAGCAAGACGCACAATAACTTAATTGCGAGTAATTGTACCTTTAAATCTTTTATTAATACTGTCGCTGTGAGACTGTCTTCCTCTAGTGCAACTAAAATAACACATAGTTATAGCCTACATATGATTGTGTCAGGGGTTAAAAACATCCGTAGCTATTTCAGTAAAGGTCGGGAGAATGGAGGGGGGCCCTCGGTCGTATCTTGCCATCTCTCCCCGTTGGTATAGGGAGTTGTGCCCCTGTTCATCCCTGCCCTCCCCTCCAACACTGCCAGAGATTCGATGAGGCGGAGTGGTTCGTGCTCACAATTTGATTCTAACAGGGATTGTTTTAAGCACTGCGGTGAATGGTAGCGCCTCTAGTGGCTGCAGGCGTGACATTGACCCACTACTGTACGTATAACATTTAAGAATTTTTAAAAAGCATCGATTGTTACAAATGTGAACCAACTCACGTACAACCTAAGAATCAATTCGAATCAATGAACCAATACGTCGTTCTGCCCAGACGCATCGTATGTTTTACCAATGTTTTCCAGCTGCATTTGTTTAAATCGGGCAATCCGTGAACCGGTTTAGACTTTCCCAGTTTCCTCGGCACGCCGTGACCTGTTAAATGAATGCCACTGGACTGCCCAGAGTTATTGGCAAGAGGCCCGGATCATAGCCCACTGCTGTGGCATAGCTCAGGAAGCCGCGAGGAATGTGTGATCAGTGAAAGGGCCATTAACGCCCCGCGTTTTGCATGACAATCACGCCATTGTGAGCGGCTGGGCTGAAAAGCCGGTCGGAAGAAAGACAAAGTGCAAAAGAAACGCGTAGAGGCGATGTGTACGCTCGCTCGCAAAGGCTTTTAAAATCGCGGCTTATTCATTGGCACTTCTAAGGATCTGTCCCAAAAAAAGAATAACTCTCCCCTCGGCCAGCCCCAGAACGCTCCCTAAAAAGGAAACGGCCAAAAGCATTGCGATGCGGGGGGGGGCCTCCCTTTTTGAAAAAGAGCCTTGAGACTCTGTGAGGCTTTCCTTGATAAACGAATGGCATTTCCTTGATGAATACTCCATTATAGCCCAAAGGCCCCCTTCTGCTTGGCCTAAGAGCCCCTTGGACCACCATAGCCCCCCCCTGCCTCAGCCGCCTTCCTGCCCTCCTGCCCCCCCCCCTCCCATATGACCCCACAGTCACGTTTGGAAGACAAAAAGTCCTTTTAGAGCAGCAGCAGCAGAGAGAGCTGGAGTGACAATTATGAGTATGTCTGCTATGTATGCATGTTGCTAAACTTCTTTTCTCACCATACGTAGCCAACCACGCTAATCGGAGGTGCATATATGCTCCTAAATGTGTGTGTAAAAAAATACTCAACACGTTCGCCTATAACACTCCTGCCTTAAAGGGAAGAGTATGTAACAGCAGGTGACGTTCTGGGCAATGACCCTTCTTCATAGCAAATAAATACATAATAAATAAAGCATTGTTTTATTTTATCTCAATTGCAGTCCTTGCGACCCCCTCCCACATCAATTACCAAGCATCAGGTTCATTCAGCGTGTTTGGGGACTTCACTTGCATACGAATGTAAAGAATTGGTAATCATGAAAAGGCGGACCGTGGCAGGGTCACGTGGAATGGAGGTGAGAAGTGCTGCTGTTGAATAACTGAAGAAATGCATGCATGTGTGTGAAAGACTCGAATGCCATTTCCATGGGATTATAATTTTTGGCCTCGATTCCAAGTGTTGGTTTAGAGTGAAATGGTTTTTATTGAAAGCCGAGTCGTGTTAACGAAACGTTTATATTTACACGATCGATCCCCCCAAAAAATCCTTCATGATGGAAAACTGAGTCAAATCACCTATCATGCTCGTGAAAGCAGTGATATCCTCACAATGGAGCATCTGCTTAGATATTTTCAGAACAATTTCGTTTGTTATATATATACAGTATATACAATTTGTCCCGAAAGATATCTGAGCAGGAAACATACTGCAATTACATGTCAATCCCACTGCTGCATCAAGGCCTCCCACATGCCACGTCGGGTGATAGGTATTGATTGACCATACTGCACCACGCTGGTCGTCGCGGGTTGATGAAAGGGGAAACCCTTGACTGGTTCATTTATCACTCATCATTGATGTTTGTCAAATTTATATTGCTGGGTTTAAAGCGGTTTGTGTTTGCACGCTGAATCACGGTGGCTCAAATACAATTATATCCACTTTGTATACGTTGTCCCCAATTGCTGTGGTCGAGCATCTGTGCCTCACGATCAGAAGGGCATGAGTTCACACCTCTCAGTCGGCCCATCATTCTCAACGTGGTGGATAAATCTAATTTCACTTCGTGCAAACGTCGACTGTGGTCGCCCTATGGAGAAAGTAAGCCCTGCCACAGTGATGTGGAATTTATAACACTGCATCAGTGCCATCAATGGGCTTGAGCACCACGTTAATGAGTTATGTTTCTGCACGGAGGTAGCCCAGTAGCTCAAGGAACAGAGGCAGAGCCAGCACTGCTGAGATCCCTGGATTTGAATCTGGGTTTCTGTTGCCCGCTGTAATTAAAACTCAGTTTTCAAGTATAGCAAGTTCAAGGTCTCAGGTTAGTGACCAACAATAAGTGCACACAAAGAAAACCATATAAATGTGTCTTCTTTACTTACTTTGACTAAATTCCAGCCCTGAGAATAGAAAGAAATGTTTCACTACCATGTTGATAGAATAGGTTAATTGTAGGGAGCTCAGAATAAGTTCCGTGTCTTTCTTTGAGCCATTCGTCTTTTCCACAGCTGCTCTCTAACTGGGCGGTGTTGCACCTCTCTGCAAGGGTTCCAAACGGCCACTTCATCTCATGCCACGACGCTGGCATCACGATCAGAACAAAAACATTAAAAACACAAACACGGCAAACACAACGCTGGCAGCAGCATCCCTTTCCGCCACCATTGCCACGACCACCAATCCATTGCGCTCCATCCCTCTCACTTCCACCCCCCTCCCGCCCTCGCCCTCACCTTGCTGGTGGCGGTGGCCGTGGCACCTCCATACACGGGCACGCTGGTGGCCTGCACGTGCACGTGCTCGTTGTCCACGAGCGGCCACGCGCCCGCCACGCGGCACGCGTGCATCCCGCCGGGGAACGTGCGCACGTGCGGGTCGCCCGACAGGCCGCAGTAGCGGTAGGCGCCGGCCGGCGGGGCCCGTGCCCTCGTCGCGCCGCACGCCCTCCGCACGGGGCCGGCCCTCGCGGGCGGCGCCGGCGGCGGCGGCGGCGACGGCTCCGACGACGCGAGCCGCCCGCCGCCGCCGCCGGCGGCGACGGCGGAAGTGCCGCCGCAAGCGTTCTGCGCCATCAGGTCCTCGATGCCGAGCACGGCCGAGTGGTACGCCAGGTCGCCGCGGCACGCCCGCGAAGTCCGCCGCGTGCAGGCCGAGTAGGCCCGTAGGGCGGCGCACAGCGGGGCTGCCGACCCGGGGGAGGGCCGCCCGCGGCCGATCGGCCCCACCGGCCCCGCGGGGCCCACCGCCGCCACGCCGCCGCCGTCCTCGACGCTCGAGCGGCCGGGCCCCGATGTTGCTGCCACGAACTCCGAGTTGCATTTGAGGATTCTGCACTGTGCGTGGGCTGTGCGGTGAAGTCCGAATGGACCCGGTGAAACAGGGGGTCGTGCGGTGAGGGCAATGGACGAGAGGCGGACAAGAGGGGGGTAGACGAGGGGAGAGATTATGCTCTCTGTACACATCAAATAGAATAAGTGCATGGGACACTGCACAGTCCTCATCATAGCTAAAGGTTCAAAAAACACAAGTGCACAACATAGCACATAGCACAACAATGTATGAGTAAGAGCTGGAGTTGACCACCTGTCCAGGGCTTGCCACTGAAAGTCCGTAAATTTGTGTCTGTGGCAGGAATTGATCGGTACCCAGATACCGGTGCTGTGCTGAACTTTATTGCAGTTAACTGCAGAGTATTGTTGATGACAGACCTCGTACTGCCTGGGACATATGTCTGGGTGCAGTCTCCTGTGGAACTGGTGGTGACCCTACACACAGCATAAACTATACACACAGCATAAACTATACACACAACACATCACAGTACATGGTAAGGCACGGAGCTCGACACGAGCAGTGCACCACACGACACAAATTGTGCAGCGGGCAAGGACAAAGCGGTAACATATATGTCTCACAATACAAACCGCGCACCTCACTCGAGTTGCAGACGCAGGGTAACAGTACAGGCCATAGCACGCACACAAACGCGCAGTACAACACGCAACGGGACCTGTAACTCACAACCGAGAAGCTCCCGCGGGATGAGTTCAGCCACTGATGTTGATGAGAGTGAACCCAGGTTGGCTGGGATCATAGGGCAGTGAGCAAACAAATCTACCACCCTACTCTTTGTTTTTTTCGGTAAAGTCACGTATAAATAAGAAATAATAAAATAGCATAATAGCGTACGACGTTTCGGTTGCAACACAAGCAGCCATCATCAGGTACAGAAGAGCTAAATTTACGAGAGAGGGGAAACACATAACCTCAGATGTATATACAGACACCCAAGTAGGGGGAACTAACACAGATACAACAGGGGACACAGAGAGAAGCATACCAAACAAACACCACTCTAGCACAAGTATACACTGCTACCCCATGGCCAGCAATGTAAACATTCTTACCTGGTGCAAGCATCTTTAGTGACTCCACCAATGCCTTCAAGTGACCAATAAAATATGATTAGTACGAGACACCTTCTGTTTAATGCTTATCAGACTCAAGCATCACGTACAGTTATAGACTCTCCAAATTACGATTATTTCACAAGTGCAGGTGCCCACCATTGACATGTGGTTGGACAAACGTTCCATGTTTAATGGGTATCTGTTCTGTGTCCACTGATGAGTACATACAAAAGTACACAAACACAGACCATCGCATGCATTCACGTATGTACAAAATAACATCACACAATATCACGCCACACACACACACATTTACACCCACACATAAAATTACACGAACATACAAAGTCACATACACAATCACAAAAACAGATACACACAACATATCTTAACATAATGACACATGGACACAAAATCACATCTTACACAATCACCCTCATATCATCCCACACAAAATGATTGACACTCAATATCACACACAAACTCTCACACAATAAAACAAATTCACACATTAACTAACAAACACGCATTGTCACAAACACAGCACAATCATAACAAGCCGGGATAGCCTCACATTGTCTAAATACCTTTCCAGCAGGGTCCTGCATTGGGATGTTTAGCCAATTCCATTTTTGAGGAGTGTTTGTGCTTTGCACATTCGTGATCAAACCAGACAACTCGAATAAAGAAAACTCACCATGCTTACTCGACAATAACACTCTCGACAATAACACTCACAACAGGTCTGCACAAACAGGTTCATGATTCCGCTTCCTGTACTGTCACCTCTTAACGGCGAGTTGGGAAATCTCACAATCCCACGTGGATCCACCTAAACCTTCGCTGAAGATTCCACAGAAACTGTAAGAAGATTCACACACTGAGAATCCACTCTGACACTGAGTAAACCACACAGACTGTCAGGAGATTCACAATGAGACTGAGACTTCACCACAGAGACTATGAGGAGATTCACACTAAGACTGAGACTCCACCACAGAGACTGTGAGGAGATTCACACTGAGACTGAGACTCCATCACAGAGACTGTGAGGAGATTCACACTGAGACTCCCACACAGAGACTGAATAACACTGAGACCGAGACTCCCCCACAGAGACTGAATGAGACACTGAGACTGAGACTCCACCACAGAGACTGAATCACACTGAGACTGAGACTCCACCACAGAGACTGAATCACACTAAGACTTCACCACAGAGACTGAATTACACTGAGACTGAGACTCCATCACTGAGACTGAATCACACTGAGACTCCCCCACAGAAACTGAATCACACTGACATTTCACCACAGAGACTGAATCACATTGAGACTCTATCACTGAGACTGAATGAGACACTGAGACTCCACCACAGAGACTGAATCACACTGAGACTCTCCCACAGAGACTGAATCACACTGAGACTTCACCACAGAGACTGAATCACACTGAGACTCTCCCACAGAGACTGAATCACACTGAGACTTCACCACAGAGACTGAAACACACTGAGACTCTCTCACAGAGACTGAATCACACTGAGACTCCACCACAGAGACTGAATCACACTGAGACTCTCCCACAGATACCAAATCACACTGAGACTGAAACTCCACCACAGAGACTGAATCACACTGAGACTGAGACTCCCCCACAGAAACTGAATCACACTGAGATTTCACCACAGAGACTGAATCACACTGAGACTCCATCACTGAAACTGAATCACACTGAGACTCTCCCACAGAGACTGAATCACACTGAGACTGAAACTCCACCGCAGAGACTGAATCACACTGAGAATCCACCACAGAGACTGAATCACACTGAGACTCCACCACAGAGACTGAATCACACTGAGACTCGATCACTGAGACTGAATCACACTGAGACTTCACCAAAGAGACTGAATCACACTGAGACTCCATCACTGAGACTGAATCACACTGAGACTCTCCCACAGAGACTGAATCACACTGAGACTGAAACTCCACCACAGAGACTGAATCACACTGAGAATCCACCACAGAGACTGAATCACACTGAGACTCCACCACAGAGACTGAATCACACTGAGACTAACCCGAGGCGGCGAGGAAGGCGAGGAGCAGGAGGCGGCCGAGTGTCGCGTTGAGCAGCTGCCGGACCCCGGTGGCCGAGTTGACGAGCGAGCGGGGTAGCGCCTCCCCGATGCCCATGCTCATCCACCCATTGGGACCCCGCGTGCCTGGCTCGGCCTGACGACCGTCTTCTACCCCTCCTCGCTCGCTCGCTCTCTCTCTCGTCTACTTCTCCATTCTGTCTGTCTTTCTCTCTCTGCCCGTGTCCGCCTTCGTCGGTTCTTTCCTCTCTCTGTGCGAGGCGAGAGCGACTCCTCTCGTTCGCCCCAAGCGCCGTTGTTGGAAGTTCCGTCGCCCTCCGCTTCTCTCGCGTTCCGCAGCGTTAATGACTCCTCCTCCTGCAACTCTCAATCACTCACCACCCACACGCACAGCCTCTCACAACACACACAGCAGCCTCTCCCCCTCTCACACAGCCCACCACCCACCCACACGCCCACAGGCTGAGCCAGGAGGCAGGCAAAGCCGCACGGACCACTCCCAGTTTGCTTTCTAAAGCAAAGAATGGCGAAGTATGGATTGCTCTGCTTGTGTACAGCAAGTCTTCAGGCGTGTAGGTTGCAACAGGGCTGTGGAGTGCTGATGATCCCAATTGAAAGGAGGGCACTGGAATTTCTCAGTCAAATAAATCGGACACGTGTTTGTCATACCACATATAAAGAAAACCACGTCTTTTTTACAAGTATATATATTTTTCCACATCCCATCGGCCTTATTCTGGGAGGGGGGGGGGGGGAGTTACAAATATTAGCGTGCATTGCATCAAACACAAGCACAGCTCTGGACCGGTTTGGGGAATCAGCGTCTCGTCAGCAGTCGGACGTGCTCCTGTCGGCGTTATGTCAGTCGCTGTGCTCACGCCGAATTGACGCTTCGTGGGACGAGGCGAGCTGGACCGATGCTGGTGGTGGTGGGGGGAGCTTCACGTCGCAGACGCGGCGGCCACGTTGTTCAGCAACCGCAGCTGCTGGATACGAAGGCCCCTCTCTCCAAGCCAGGGCCCTGTTGTCCAATAGGCCACAGTAGGCAATGAGCCGAGGGCCTGCGAAAACTGAAGGGTCTACGAAAAAAAATTGGACCATTTTTGTTTGTATGTATGTATGATAGCAAAAACATTAACCAAGATATCTTCTTGAATAAACATTTATACAGCAAGGATTGGCACAGTGTTTATTGAGGCAGAGTTAGCTCAATGTCAATCTTTTTTTTTCTTAAGGTGAGCGAAATTAACACCGGAGATTAACTTTTCGAGATTTTTTTCCATTGCAAAAACTTGCAATCATATCTTTAAAAGTTGTTTTTCGCGTAACGCGTCAGCCAGCAGTCACGACATCTGTCCAGCGGCTGGACGAAGATCCGCGTGAAACAAGCGGAGTGATAGCGGCGGGAGTGGTAACATGGGGCAGCAGCAGCCTTAGAGAGTGATCACTGAAGACCTACGAAACACAAGTGCCTAGGGCCTGCATGGATCTCAATCCGCCCCTCTCTCCACGATGGGGGTCGTTTTGGCCACACGTCCAAGCCCTGTTGAATATGCCACTGTTATTAGCCGTGATCGGGAATCGAACTGGGATCACAGAGCGCAATTCGCTTACCGCTTCGCCACCGCTCTCCATTTAGCGCACGACTTTATAAGCGTTGTGTTATTTGATAATTTAACGACATTGCTATTTAATATTCTTGGGTTCTAACATTGCTGATTGGGTGTTTTTGCCTTTCTCTCTCTGCATTGTGTTTGTTTACGCATTGTTAATTGCTGCTTTGCTGTTCAGCATTTAATTAAACTCACGGCCTCCCCTTGATGAATAGACAAGGCGGGCCCCCGCTGGGATGCTGCCTGGCGACAACAGCCCATCGATCCGTCTCGTCCCCCTCCCTCGACGCCGCAAGTGAATGTCCTTGCCACCCACCCGGGCGAACTGCCGAGTCTCGATACCCACAACGAGTCGCAAGAACTTTCAACCCTCTGTGGTCGGTCTGGAATTTGGGTCACGCTCGGTTGCACCCTTGGCACGAATTCCCCGCGCCGCATTGCGAACGCAGCCCAGTCCCTTGGTCCGTTCAGAGTGAAGCCGTGCACAATCGACACGATCATCGGCCATGATTCATCCACTGCTGGATGAAGGACTCACACATCAATTCAACACAAACACCAAACAACAGCGCTCAACACGTTCGTCAATAATGACACTGCATGCGTGGCCTTTAAAGGAAACACAATACCCGATGGCGTTGCGGGAAATGCTCCTTCTTAGTCGTACACCTCTGGCACCTGCACGCGAGGTTGTCAGCGCCGATCCCGTGAAGCCTTTCCGACTACGCAAGGGCAATTTGACGTGAAATGGCCACGCTGTGTGAGTCAGAGAGAGAGAGAGAGAGCGTGCACGACTTCTCACGAGCGTGGTCACAATCCACTGCTCGATGAAGGCCTCCCCCATGGCGTGTCGGTCGTGGCGGTTGTATGACCATACTTCACCAATTAACAAACGAAGCATTGCTTAATTGCATTGTACATTAAATAGGCCTGACTTTTAGTCGTTATTTTAAAAAATAATTATTCCGTCGGCCCCTCTTGGAGTTGTGGGCCCTGCCTACCACCGAGTCCTGAAGAATGGTGCACGTGGCGTCCGTATGGTCACCCTGGACCCCTGACCGGGGTACAAGGGGATCCCATCACCCCCCCACCCACCCACACACAACTCTTTCTCTACCCTTTCCCTCTCCAGGGCCCGACCCCACGCGAATTCCTCAGCCTGCCTGCGTGACCCGCAGTGACCCCCGCATGCAGGAGGGGACGACGGGGGAGGGATTGCGAAGTGAGTGGAGCGTGCGTGGGGGGGGGGGTGTTTTGGTAAAAGGAGGCGAGTGGGCGGTGGGAGGAGGGGGACGGGGGGGGCACTGGGTTAGTGGGGGGAGGGGGGGCACTGGGTTTGTGGGGGAGGGGGAGTCGGAGTGGGGGGTCACCATGGGGGCGACCGTGAAAAGATTCCCAGGTGTGATAGTTCTGCAGTGTGCGTGGGTGAGTGTATCATTCATAGTGTGATAGTGCTGCAGTGTGCGTGGGTGAGTGTATCATTCACAGTGTGATAGTGCTGCAGTGTGCGTGGGTGAGTGTATCATTCACAGTGTGATAGTGCTGCAGTGTGCGTGGGTGAGTGTATCATTCACAGTGTGATAGTAGTGCAGTGTGCGTGGGTGAGTGTATCATTCACAGTGTGATAGTGCTGCAGTGTGCGTGGGTGAGTGTATCATTCACAGTGTGATAGTAGTGCAGTGTGCGTGGGTGAGTGTATCATTCATAGTATGATAGTGCTGCAGTGTGCGTGGGTGAGTGTATCATTCACAGTCCGATAGTGCTGCAGTGTGCGTGGGTGAGTGTATCATTCACAGTGTGATAGTGCTGAAGTGTGCGTGGGTGAGTGTATCATTCACAGTGTGATAGTGCTGCAGTGTGCGTGGGTGAGTGCATCATTCACAGTGTGATAGTGCTGCAGTGTGCGTGGGTGAGTGTATCATTCATAGTGAGATAGTGGTGCAGTGTGCGTGGGTGAGTGTATCATTCACAGTGAGATAGTGCTGAAGTGTGCGTGGGTGAGTGTATCATTCACAGTGTGATAGTGCTGCAGTGTGCGTGGGTGAGTGTATCATTCATAGTGTGATAGTGCTGCAGTGTGCGTGGGTGAGTGTATCATTCACAGTGTGATAGTGCTGCAGTGTGCGTGGGTGAGTGTATCATTCACAGTGTGATAGTGGTGCAGTGTGCGTGGGTGAGTGCATCATTCACAGTGTGATAGTGCTGCAGTGTGCGTGGGTGAGTGTATCATTCATAGTGTGATAGTGCTGCAGTGTGCGTGGGTGAGTGTATCATTCACAGTGTGATAGTGCTGCAGTGTGCGTGGGAGAGTGTATCATTCACAGTGTGATAGTGCTGCAGTGTGCGTGGGTGAGTGTATCATTCATAGTGTGATAGTGCTGCAGTGTGCGTGGGTGAGTGTATCATTCACAGTGTGATAGTGCTGCAGTGTGCGTGGGTGAGTGTATCATTCACAGTGTGATAGTGCTGCAGCGTGCGTGGGTGAGTGTATCATTCATAGTGTGATAGTGCTGCAGTGTGCGTGGGAGAGTGTATCATTCACAGTGTGATAGTGCTGCAATGTGCGTGGGTGAGTGTATCATTCATAGTGTGATAGTGGTGCAGTGTGCGTGGGTGAGTGCATCATTCACAGTGTGATAGTGCTGCAATGTGCGTGGGTGAGTGTATCATTCATAGTGTGATAGTGGTGCAGTGTGCGTGGGTGAGTGCATCATTCACAGTGTGATAGTGCTGCAGTGTGCGTGGGTGAGTGTATCATTCACAGTGTGATAGTGCTGCAATGTGCGTGGGTGAGTGTATCATTCACAGTGTGATAGTGGTGCAGTGTGCGTGGGTGAGTGTATCATCCAGTGTGATAGTGCTGCAGTGTGCGTGGGTGAGTGTATCATTCATAGTGTGATAGTGCTGCAGTGTGCGTGGGTGGGTGTATCATTCACAGTGTGATAGTGCTGCAGTGTGCGTGGGTGAGTGTATCATTCATAATGTGATAGTGCTGCAGTGTGCGTGGGTGAGTGTATCATTCACAGTGTGATAGTGCTGCAGTGTGCGTGGGTGAGTGTATCATTCATAGTGTGATAGTGCTGCAGTGTGCGTGGGTGGGTGTATCATTCACAGTGTGATAGTGGTGCAGTGTGCGTGGGTGAGTGTATCATTCACAGTGTGATAGTGCTGCAGTGTGCGTGGGTGAGTGTATCATTCACAGTGTGATAGTGGTGCAGTGTGCGTGGGTGAGTGTATCATTCACAGTGTGATAGTGCTGCAGTGTGCGTGGGTGAGTGTATCATTCACAGTGTGATAGTGCTGCAGTGTGCGTGGGTGAGTGTATCATTCACAGTGTGATAGTGCTGCAGTGTGCGTGGGTGAGTGTATCATTCACAGTGTGATAGTGCTGCAGTGTGCGTGGGTGAGTGTATCATTCACAGTGTGATAGTGCTGCAGTGCGCGTGGGTGAGTGTATCATTCACAGTGTGATGCTTGCTAACAGCACTCGCCCCAAACGTGCGTAGGCTACACGTGGAATGATCGTCGTGTGTGATGAGCGAGTGTGGATTTTGCTTGGGGTGTAATGTTGTGCGTCGGGTTGTTGTGTAGGTTGGAGTGTCAGGGTGTGTGTAGGTTGGGGTGTCAAGATGTGTGTAGGTTGGGGTGTGTGGAGGTTGGGGTGTCAGGGTGTGTAGGTTGGGGTGTCAAGATGTGTGTAGGTTGGGGTGTGTGCAGGTTGGGGTGTCGGGTGTTGTGTCGGTTGGGGTGTGTGTAGGTTTGGGTGTCAGGGTGTGTGAAGGTTGGGATGTCGGGGTGTGTGCAGGTTGGGGTTACAGGGTGTGTGCATGTTGGAGTGTTGGGGTGTTGTGTAGCTTGGGGTGTCGGGGTGTTGTGTAGGTTGGAGTGTGTGCAGGTTGGGGTGTGTGTAGGTTGGGGTTTCGAGCTGTATGTAGGTTGGGGTATGTGTAGGTCGGGGTGTCGGGGTGTTATCTAGGTTGGGGTGTCGGGGGGTGTGTAGGTTGTGGTGTGTGTAGGTCGGGGTGTGTATAGGTTGGGGTGTCGGGCTGTATGTACAGTGAGGGAAAAATCATTTGATCCCCTGCTGATTTTGTACGTTTGCCCACTGACAAAGAAATGATCAGTCTATAATTTTAATGGTAGGTTTATTTGAACAGTGAGAGACAGAATAACAACAAAAAAAATCCAGAAAAACAAGTGTCAAAAATGTTATTAATTGATTTGCATTTTAATGGGGGAAATAAGTATTTGACCCCCTCTCAATCAGAAAGATTTCTGGCTCCCAGGTGTCTTTTATACAGGTAACGAGCTGAGATTAGGAGCACACTCTTAAAGGGAGTGCTCCTAATCTCAGCTTGTTACCTGTATAAAAGGCACCTGTCCCCAGAAGCAATCAATCAAATTCCAAACTCTGCACCATGGCCAAGACCAAAGAGCTTTCCAAGGGTGTCAGGGACAAGATTGTAGACCTACACAAGGCTGGAATGGGCCACAAGACCATTGTCAAGCAGCTTGGTGAGAAGGTGACAACAGTTGGTGTGATTATTCGCAAATGGAAGAAACACAAAAGAACTGTCAATCTCCCTCGGCCTGGGGCTCCATGCAAGATATCACCTCGTGGAGTTGCAATGATCATGAGAACGGTGAGGAATCAGCCCAGAACTACACGGGAGGATTTTGTCAATGATCTCAAGGCAGCTGGGACCATAGTCACCAAGAAAACAATTGGTAACACACTACGCCTTGAAGGACTGAAATACTGCAGCGCCCGCAAGGTCCCCCTGCTCAAGAAAGCACATATACATGCCCGTCTGAATCATTCAGATGTTCATTGGCAAACTTCAGAGGACAACTGGGTGAAAGTGTTGTGGTCAGATGAGACCAAAATGGAGCTCTTTGGCATCAATTCAACTCGCCGTGTTTGGAGGAGGAGGAGGAGGAATGCTGCCTATGACCCCAAGAACACCATCTCCACCGTCAAACATGGAGGTGGAAATATTATGCTTTGGGGGTGTTTTTCTGCTAAGGGGACAGGACAACTTCACCGCATCAAAGGGACGATGGACGGGGCCATGTACCGTCAAATCTTGGGTGAGAACCTCCTTCCCTCAGCCAGGGCATTGAAAATGGGTCGTGGATGGGTATTCCAGCATGACAATGACCCAAAACACACGGCCAAGGCAATAAAGGAGTGGCTCAAGAAGAAGCACATTAAGGTCCTGCAGTGGCCTAGCCAGTCTCCAGACCTTAATGCCATAGAAAATCTGTGGAGGGAGCTGAAGGTTCGAGTTGCCAAACATCAGCCTCGAAACTTTAATGACTTGGAGAAGATCTGCAAAGAGGAGTGGGACAAAATCCCTCCTGAGATGTGTGCAAACCTGGTGGCCAACTACAAGAAACGTCTGACCTCTGTGATTGCCAACAAGGGTTTTGCCACCAAGTACTAAGTCATGTTTTGCAGAGGGGTCAAATACTTATTTCCCTCATTAAAATGCAAATCAATTCATAACATTTTTGACATGCGTTTTTCTGGATTTTTGCTGTTGTTATTCTGTCTCTCACTGTTAAAATAAACCTACCATTAAAATTATAGACTGATCATTGATTTGTCAGTGGGCAAACGTACAAAATCAGCAGGGGATCAAATACTTTTTTTCCCTCACTTTAGGTTGGGGTGTGTGTAGGTTGGGGTGTTGGGGCATGTGTAGGTTGGGGCGTGTGGAGGTTGGGGTGTCGGGGTGTGTGAATGTTGGGGTGTAGGTAGGTCGGGGTGTGTGTAGGTTGGGGTGTGTGTAGGTTAGGGTGTCGGGGTGTGTAGGTTCGGGTGTCGGGCTGTATGTCGGTTGGGGTGTCGGGCTGTATGTAGGTTGGGGTGTTGGGCTGTATGTAGGTTGAATGTTGGGCTGTATGTAGGTTGGGGTGTTGGGCTGTATGTAGGTTGGGGTGTGTACAGGCTGGGGTGTGTGTAGGTTAGGGTGTCAGGGTGTGTGAATGTTGGGGTGTGGGTAGATCGGGGTGTCTGGTTGTGTGAAGGTTAGGGTGTTGGGGTGTTGTGTAGGTTGGGGTGTTGTGTAGGTTTGGGTGTGCATTGGTTAGGGTGTCGGGGCGTGTGTAGGTTGGGGTGTGTGTAGGTTGGGGTGTCGGGGCGTGTGTAGGTTGGGGTGTGTGTAGGTTGGGGTGTCGGGGTGTGTGTAGGTTAGGGTGTGTGCAGGTTGGGGTGTGTGTAGGTTAGGGTGTCAGGGTGTGTGCAGGTTGGGGTGTGTAGGTTAGGGTGTATTCCCGGTGTTGGCCGAATTGCTTGTCAATGAGTCACCGCAATTGAACACACACACGAGAACTGCCATTCGCCACTAAGTGGCGATGACATCACCATGTCGCTTGTGCCAGGCTATGTGCATGTTAAGACCACGTGAAGTGTCGAATGCCTTCCAGCAGGTCACGGGGCAGACCCAGGTGTTGTGGGTCGACTTACTGAGATGACTGGCCAATACAACACCTGTGCCCCCTGCTGTGCCAACTTGCTGTGCTTTAGGCACCCGGCGCTCTGCTCGTTGTTGTGAGCGTCGCTCCTCTGCCCTCCGTTGTTGCTGGAGGGCGACTGCCTCCAACTACCCAGGAGCATCCTTCACGAGCCCCCTCCACAGAGGCCGACCTTGACACCGCTGGTACCGGTCATCGGCAAGTCCACTCAGCTCCACGTCCTCCTGTACCACATCACTCCATCTCTTCTCTAGCTCATGCCGCTCCCGTTTAGCCCCCTCGATCCAGCCGAACAAAAGCTGTTTAGGAATGTGGTGGCTGGGCATGCGGGCTACATGACCCAGCCAACGCAGCCTTGCCTGCCGGAGGAGCTCACCGATGGGACTTTGTACAGATATGAGAATAGGTTTTCCCCTTTTTTCTGCAACATAACAGGTGTTAAGATGTTAAAACACCAAACTGAAACCTTTTACAAGGAATCATGTCTGCATTAACCACAATACTTGTGGTCAGAATGCAAACCAAAAACACTCCGATAATATATGCATATGCCTTTTGGCGTCCTCTGGTCTAACACCGTTTGAGACTAGGCTCGAAAGAAAGCTGTCTCTGGTGTGGACGTCAATGTAAAAATGGAAGCAGGTTCGTAATGGGGCTGTTCGTAAGTCGTGGACTACCTGTACAGGCAAACCACGGGCCACGTAGGGGCTCCAGTCACCAGTCTAGCAGTGCCCTCTGCTGGCCTGGCATTAAGTGCAATGTTCACACGGCACACCGCAGCCGCCTTCCAAAACTCAACGCCGGAGAGTTCATTAAAACAAGTTAGTGTGGCACGTGGTACAAAATAAACACAGGTCTTTATTGCGAAACAAAGTCAAGATCGGTATGAAAATCCACGGTGGCCATCGTGGTCCATGGACGGGCGGGGGTTAAAGGTCAAGGTTGGGGCAGGTGTTGATGAAGTGGGGAGCACGACGTGAGGGAGGGGGGCGCCGCGATGGGTCAGAGGTCATTGGAGCAGTAAGCAAACCGTACGGGTCGACCACAGCAACTCTGCCACAGTGACAATCGCACACGCGAGTACAGTAATAAAATAAAAACTGGTTTGTAGAACAATCACAAAGCTGGCGAAACGCAAAATCCTCGTCACTCAGTGCCGGGGGATTTGGCTTGGTCGCCCCCCCCCCCCGCGCATGCCCCGTTTTCTTGTGGACGTCCGAGCTTGGCAGACCGACGTATTTACACGTCCATCGCTCCGCACGGGGAGTGTAATAAAATTATCACATTGTGCACCGCTAAGATTCGTGTACATTTTGGCTCTTCATTCAGTGGACGGACATGAAAGGTATCAGCTGGCGTGTGCCATAGTACGTGGGGCGACTTCGGCATAATAGTCTGTGGACGGGTAGCGTTGGGGCGGTATGTCCCATGTCAGAACGCATCATTCATAACAACCACGTCGTCGGATTCCGTCCGTTCCACAGACTGCCGCTACGGCAACCCCCATCACTCAAAAACAACGGTGCCCGAACTCCATAAAACAGAAATGTTAATTATATTATCACGGTTGCGCTTCTTTTTCTTTATCCCAATCGGTGTTTTGGCCAAGCGCGTCCATTTCACGCGATGCTTAGCTGACTCTCTTCAGTTCCACGCTGAAGTTAAGGGTGCTGTTGGGCGGAATGGGGCCCATGCGCTTGCTCCCGTACCTGTGCGGCAGCAACGACAACATCAGTAGTGGCGTCGTCACACGCAACATTAGCGTCACACACATCAGCAGTGGAGCACACATCAGCTGCGACGTCAGACAACAGTGGAAGAACCATAACAGCAGCATTACTAACAGTTGTAATGTCTAAATAAAGCTATTTTATTTACCAGGTGAAGCCCAGCGAGCTATTAGTTATTTTTCCAAGGCGAGCTGGCCACAGGTGAAAGTTCATCCCAGTGTCTTGTATCACTGAACGTGGGAATTTATAGTTGCAGGCGAATAAACTGAACGCAGTTTTTCTCAATGCCCAGAGGGGGGCAAAAACCGGAGGGCCCGGAGAAAAATCCAACGCAACCACCACAGGGGGTCGGGGATCTAACCCACAATAACCGGCGAGGGAGATCGCATCCGTGCCCCAAACTCTGCACAGCGACGCAGTTCCCGTCACGCACTCATCGATCCTCGCGCCTGTCCCGCCCCGCGTGCCCCCGCGCGTCCGCTCACAGGCGAGCGGCTGCGGCATGGGGCTGCGGCGGAGTTGTTGTCGTCCACAAGCGAAGCCCGGCACGCACCATCGCAGCCCGCGGGTATTTTACATGGACGGGCGCTCTTTCAACCCTCGAGGGAGGGTTCCGTACGACTTACGGTTCTCTTCTTTAAAAAAAGCCTCGTCGAAATTTAGCCACTGTCGAGTTTCACTCGGTGTTTGATATATTACGTAAGTTTAAAGTTAATTTTGTTTAACTAGGTGAGAACTCAAGAGGGACGGGGATTGCAATTGACCTCTTGGATCGCAAGATGAGGATTGCAAGGGGCGCCACAGAGGAGAGATATTAACTACCTCGCCTGATATACTGGAGGTCGTGGGTTCGATCCCGACGCCTTTATATTTTAAGTTTGCACGTTCTCTCTGTGGTTGGGTGTATTTTTATCCCGGTCCTCAGATTTTTCCCTCCACATTTATAAACATGCCTTTAGAGTATTTGGCTGCTATACATTTCCACATGATAAGCCACCTTTGTTGAGATATCATTTTGTGGCCAGGTCGCTTGTGAAACAGAGCTACGTAGCTCAGTGGGCATTACCGGCCGGGAGGGACCACCGACGCACAAGACAATACGGACGATGGTGTCAGCGATGGCTGTGCGAGACTTACGCGAGGTGCGCGGGAATTGACAGCTTCCTCTTGCCTCCCACACTCATCCCTGGGCACAGCACGAGACGCGAAAAACACGCACACAGGCACGCACAGGCATCGCTTGCAGGACTTAGCGGGAAACCACCACAAAATCACGACAACTGGAGAGCATGAGAATAGGTTTTGCCATTTCTCTGGCAACAAAACAGCTGTGTTAAGATGTTAAAACACAAAACCGAAACCTTTTACAATAAATCATGTCTGCATTAACCACAATACTTGTGGTCAGAATGCAAACAAACACACACTCCGATAATATGATGCATTCTCTTTGAAACTCATTGGTCCACACCAGAGACAGCTTTCTTTCGAGCCTCGTCTCAAACGGTGCGAGACCAGAGGACGCCATCATCGATCCTCGCGCCTGCGAGCGCCTGTCCCGCCGTGCGTGCCCCCGCGCGTCCGCTCACAGGCGAGCGGACGCGGCATGGGGCTGCGGCGGAGTTGTTGTCGTCCACAAGCGAAGCCCGGCACGCACCATCGCAGCCCGCGGGTATTTTACATGGACGGGCGCTCTTTCAACCCTCGAGGGAGGGTTCCGTACGACTTATGGTTCTCTTCTTTAAAAAAAGCCTCGTCGAAATTTAGCCACTGTTGAGTTTCGCTCGGTGTTTGATATATTACGCAAGTTTAAAGTTAATTTTGTTTAACTAGGTGAGAACTCAAGAGGGACGGGGATTGCAATTGACCTCTTGGATCGCAAGATGAGGATTGCAAGGGGCGCCACAGAGGAGATATATTAACTACCTCGCCTGATATACTGGAGGTCGTGGGTTTATAAAGACAATGCCACTATCAGAGTATATTTTTTATTTGCATTCTGACCACAAGTATTGTGGGTAATGCAAACATGATTCCTTGTAAAAGGTTTCAGTTTGGTGTTCTAACATCTTAAGACCTACTCTTAGGTTATTTCGGTAAAGTCAAGCAGATAGGAAAATAAATAACTAATAGATGACGACGTTTCTATCGCAACAACGACCGTCCTCAGGTGAAAGAGAGAAACACGCCTCTGTGACAAGGCGTTATATAGAGGGGAGGCCTCTGTGACGAGGTATTATATAGAGGGGGAGGCCTCTGTGACGAGGCATTATATAGAGGGGGAGGCCTCTGTGACGAGGCATTATATAGAGGGGAGGCCTCTGTGACGAGACATTATATAGAGGGGGAGGCCTCTGTGACGAGACATTATATAGAGGGGGAGGCCTCTGTGACGAGACATTATATAGAGGGGGAGGCCTCTGTGACGAGGCATTATATAGAGGGGGAGGCCTCTGTGACGAGGCATTATATAGAGGGGGAGGGGAGGCCGCAAAGGGGCGAGAGGGTGGGGAAAAAATTCAAAGAGGGCTTGGGTGAATGAGAGAAAAGAAATGTGACAAGGAAACTTGGATATCAAACTTAACAATATTTGGAAATGTAATGAAAGCCTGCAGTCACGAAATTTTCTAATCTTATCACCTCTTTTGTTGCCAGAAAAAAGTGGAAAACCTCTGCTCATATTTTGCTACTGGCAAAGGAGGTCCCATGATGTAACTGGACAGCAGTTAACGTGGAAATAGCAGGGGGGGGGGGGTTAAAACCGCTCCGCACATTCACGCAGCGGACATGCAGCGTTTAGTGCAAGCTGCTCGATGGACCCGCTGACAGAGTTTTATTCCCGGCTAATATTGGTCAGGTGCGTGACATCTGCAACGGCCGGTGGCGCCCCCTCCTTACAAATGCACACCAACCAGCATGGTGAAGTATGATCAAACAACTCCCATAACCAACACGACGTGGGAAGGGCCCTTCAACGGTGGCTTAACACAGGGCTGTAATTTACGGACTCCTCGCTGCATCTCCCAAGAGACAACAGACTCCCTGGGCACAGCCATCACAGCGGTGCTCTTCTAACTCGGGACCCCACTGCGACCTCTCGCCTCTTCGAGACCTCCCGCCCCGCCACGCGCGACCCTCGCCCTCTTCTCTTTCACCCGCGTGCCAACGCCGTCACCCGCTCACCTTCGATCCCCATGTCCCAGCCCTTGATGACCTCGCCTGCTCCGAGGCGGAAGGTGAAGCCCTTCCCGCTGGTGGTCGAGTCAAACTCCTTGCCGCTGGTGAGCATGCCCTTGTAGTAGACGGTCACCTGCGCGGCGGCGAGAGGAGGGGGGTGGAGAGGAGGGGGGGGGGGGGAGTGCCGCTGTCAGGGTACGTGACGGCGACTGATCGCAGCGATTCCCCTGCGGTGCGTTGTGGCAAGAGGCCACGCGCGAGCATCGCTAGGCTGCTGCGGCTGCTGCGGCTGCTGCTGCTGCGGCTGCTGCGGCTGCTGCGGCTGAGCCGCTGTGGCGTCAAAGCGGCCGGCGTGCGAGGCTACAGGCAGCACGACGCACACTGTACGCACAAACACAAACATTCGGCCAATCATCATCGTCCCTTCAGGGTTCCATAAAATAGGTACCACTCGTTCAGCAAAGCCATCGGGAAGTGAACGGTGAGTGCGCTATAAAGCCGGCAAAAGGAATGTGGAATTTCCACCACCACCTCACGGTCGTCAAAAGAGGGGGGGGGGGGGGGAGCGCCACCCCACGCTCCATTAAGACACGTGCCATTAGACACGTGCCATTTGACACGTGCCATCTGACACGTGCCATTTGACACGTGCCATTTGACACGTGCCAATTGACTGCGGTTGCCGCAAGGGGTGGAACGATGCGTGGCGGAATGGTGCGTGGTGGAACGATGCGTGGCTTCTCCAAATTCTAAATCGATTATTAAGCCCACGGTAAACGCATAAAAATGAGCACGTGAGAATAAACAACTTATATTTCACACCAATTACATGCCAATGCTACAATCGGGCTAACACGGCAATCGTGAAATCGCTCGGCGGTTGGGGAGCGATAGATGCGCCGTGATTGCCGACGTGCGGCAGTGGCTACCAACGTCACCGCCACCATCCCACAACGCCACACCGCACTGCGCGCACTCACCATCTTCCCACGCTTGGCACGTATGCCGGTGCCGATCGTCACATCCTGGGACAGGAGGCCGCCTGGCAGGGTCATCTTGGGCCCCGGGGTCGTTGAGCGTGTCTGGGGCTGTGCCGCGGCCGGTTTCGCTGCGGGATACAATGCGGAGAGACGCGCGGGGCGGGGGAGGAGGATATTAAAAAATATATATTGTACCAGGCAACGCCCACTGAGCTATGTAGCTATTTTTCAGAAGCGCCCGAGCCACAAATGAGCGCTCACGTGGAAATTGATCGCAGCCAAATACTCTAAACGCATGTTTATAAATGTGGAGGGAAACACCTGAGGACCAAGAGAAAAATTAACACGACCACAGTTAGGGATCGAAATCATGTCCTTCTGCATACCAGGCGAGGGAGTTAACATCTTGGCACTGCGGCGTTGGCATCAACCCTGCGGCAGCCACGTCGCTGGCGATTCTACTCGTGGTGGGATTTTCTGACATTGTCAACGAGACAACGATGAAAACATGGGGCTCGCCGACCGATGATCTGGTCACGTGGCTCCTCGTCGGTATAGCGAGCCGGGTCCGCCAGTCGTCTAAGCCCATCAACCCTCCAGGGTCGACGTAACGAGTACCATTTAATGGGGCGGTAAAGAGTGGTTGGATTATCGATTGACTCGCCCCCACCACAGGAATGTGGAATAGTCCGGCACTGGCTCAGGGCTGTAAACAGGAGATGAGCACCAATGCTTCACAATGCTCATGAGCGGACGAGATCACCGACAATGACCCCGAGCGAGATGGGCGAGCGACGTTCTCTTTTCCTCCCCACGTCGTTCCCTCGCGCTTCCTCCCGCTGCGAGCCAAATGTTGTGCAAAGCGAGACGCGCCGAGCGCCACCCCGCACACGCTGCGGAGCCTGCGGGGGGGGGCGGGTAACGCGGGGCCGCACACCTTTCGGACTGGGAAATTGCTGCTTCTGCTGCTGTGGGGTCTTTAGGGTTGGGGCCGCCTCCTTGGCTGCCTGTGGGGCCTTTGCTTTGGGCGTCTTGTCAGCTTTGGCCTGCCCGAACGAAACGCAATTGCAACAATTAAACAAATCGCAATGATTAAAAAAAAAATTTACAAAGATGATAATGCACTTTTTCCCACAATGCACCTCCTCTTGCTAGGCTGACCTTTTCACTGGTGACATCCGCTTTCTGTGTTTTCTTCGCAACCGGTGACTCCACATCCTCCTCCTGCTCTTCCTCCTCATCACTACCTTCTTCCTCCTCCTCCTCCTCCACCTCCTCCACGTAGTCATCGGCGTTGTCATCGGCGTTGTCCTCGTCGCTGCCGTCCGCATCCAGGCTGTCCAGCGTTTCAATTTTTTGTTTTTTGGCTGGTAGCGATGGTACCTTCGTGCTTCTCGATGGCCGCTTGACTCCGTTGGCTTCGCGTACCGGTGGACAAACACGGGAACACAAACACGCGCGCACAGACACGCGCGCACAGACACGCGCGCACAAGACACGCACGCCGCCTGCGTTTAGTTTCCGCCCTCAGAGCTGGCGCCGCTTGGCGATCTTGCAAGTCGCGTTCACACCATAAGCCACTTCGTTGAGCTATCGTTTGTGATGGCCAGGTTGCTTCTCATAAAGAGCTACATAGCTCATTGGGCCTTACCTTGTAAAATAAAAAAGTCTAGTTTTTCAGTCTTCGTCTCGAGACACAACGGGGAGAAGCGAGGAAAGAGAAACCAAGAGGGGGGCGGAAACAGTAAGCCCTTGCGCGAGAGAAGAGGGCTGAGTGCGGGGTGGCGATGACGGGAAAGTCGTGGGGAGCTCGTTACCGGTTGAGACTTGACTGCTGCTCTCCCACTGCTTGCCCGTGTCGAGGATGGACTTGCCTTCGTCGCCCAACAGGTAGCCTGTGAGGTGGACCACGCCTGCACATGCACGTAAGGTAGCGCCCATTGACGAAACCCGGCACAGATTAACAGGTCGGTTAGTTTCAGAGTTCCATCCGACACCGTATTTTATAATGATCTACATTTGCAAGGCAAATTTAATCCAAGGATCCCAATGTGCCGTGTATGTAAAGCAGGGAAATTACAGTCAGCGTAAATGACAAAAAATTAGGACAAGGCCATTTTAAAAAGGCAACACGTTCCATAGTCTTGGAGCTGCACTGGCAAAAGCCCGATCACCCCCAGGAACGGAGCCTTGACCTCGGAATACCAAGAAGATCAGAAAATCTCAAGGGCCTCATTGGTGGTGTATAGGAGTAGATCAGTCCCTGTAAGTAATGTGCGGCTAACCCATTGACAGCCTTGTAGGTCAATAGCACGACTTGATAATCAATCAATTTTATGAGCGAGGTATTGGCACCTTCATCAGTCCTAATTTGTTCACGCGCTTCGACCAATTGAAAAGCCACTTCACGATTATCACTCGTGATTACCTGCATCTTTTAAAGTGTTTTAAATGTTCGTCCGACACTGTGGAACCCATTGTGTGTAGACAAGAGTGAGCCCCATCTGTTTCAGGGTCGTGCCCGTCTCTCCTTTGTGGGGGGGGGGGGGGGGGGGAAGATCTGCTGTGGTGTGATGGTAAATGTTGTGGATTTGCTCTCCAACACACCGGTGTGCTGTACTAGTAACGAATTGGCATGCTCCTGTTTACGTGACAAACCTTACTAATTGGCTGTGTTGGGTGGTGGCGGGTTTAACGACACATATTTACGCGACCTAACCAAAAAAAAACCTATATTATGAAAAATCATCTATTTTAATCACGAAAAACCTGAATTTAAACGGAGAAAATCTAAGCGGCACCATATTGGTGCTCCACCCTCCCGAGCCGAGGTTCAGCTACGAGCCCCATCTGTGGGTTTCGGGGGTCACATGCCCTCCCGTACGGCGGTGCCGGCAGGGCGCCCCGTTGCGTCTGTGAGCGGCTGTCCTGCCGCGCGTGCCCCCCGCGCTTGCGGCGAGCGGCACGGGGCTGCGGCGGGGTTGCTGTCGTCCACAAGCGAAGCCCGGCGCGCACCATCGCAGCCCGCGGGTATTTTACATGGACGGGCGCCGCCAACGGGCGCCCTTTCAACCCTCGCGCGGGCGGGTTCTGTACAACTTCAGATTCTCGTTACAGCAAGCGTCATTATTTTAAACGGACGCTTGTCTGGGACACCAAACACACAACGCTCTCTTCAGCTGCAAGATGGAGCAATAAAATGAGCCCGTGTGTCGGAGCGCGACATGTTTGCATTGCAGCACTGTGAAATATGGCGGCGGCAGCTTAGAGAGACCCTCATCCAGCAGTGGATAGATCAAGGCTGATAAATGGTTGGCATGTTGTAGTCAAGCGTGAGACAGAGCAAGACAGGACAGGCAAATAACCCAAACAGGACGAAAGTATATTTTTTTACGGAATCGTGTCCCCAGCACTTACCACGACCCCTGGAGGCCAGGGTCACCACCTCACCCTGCACGAACACCAGGTCCAGCGGCTGCTGCCAATGACCCTGCTGCAGGGTGCACGTCACAAAGTTGCCACCGTCGCAGACGTTCACCAGCACGCTCACCGTGCTGGCGCCTACGTTACACACGGGAAGGGGGAGGGGGGTGCTCGGTGAGAGAGGGACAATTCAAGCGCCGATGCAATTGTCAATACTCTTTGGTTCTGCTGAACCAGGTAAAAATTCAAAGGACCATGGATAGCGTCTGCTTATTTTTTACAAATAAAAAAAGATGTACCTGGAAATTACTCAATTTGGATTACATGGTACACATAGCGGAGTGATGATCACCCCCTCAGTGGCTGACCAATTGCAGGCCAGTGCCGAGTAAAAAAAAACACAAAACTACACATTTTTTTTTTATTTCACCAAGGAAGGCCCACTGAGCTATACAGATATTTTTCATAGGTGACCTGGCCACAAATGATAGCTCACCCAAAGTGGTGTATCATCACGTAAACATTTACAGCAGCCAAATACTGTAACACGTGATGTTCATTCCAAATGTGGAGGAAAAAAACGGAGAAAAATCCACACAACCACGGGGAGAGCATGCAAACTCCAAATGCACAGGCATCAGGGTCAACATCGAACCCACGACCTCCTGCACACCAGGCGAGGTAGTCCACATCTTGCCACCGTGGCGCACTGTGAATGCACAATAAGCGGCACAGGGACAGCTGCCCCTCGGGGGTCGGGGGTCAATCGTGAAGGGTTAAGATGAGGTGTGACACGTAAGGCGCTTTTGAGATGCCGAGGCATTTAAGCGTCCTATCATTGCAAATATTTTGGTTGTCATCATGTATAAAAAGGACAGAACTTGCGAGGCTCGAGAGCGAGGTGGGGGCTCTGACGGCGCACTGAGATCCCTGGATTCCAGCTCGGTATGTAAATAATGATCGTGATTACCGTGGTCGGACTGAGGGTCCAATGCAGCCATGGTGATGTGGAACGACTCCTTGACCACCTGGGAGTAGCATTTCCCCTGCTCCAGAGTGAGACCTGCATGGAATGATGGGGGTGGGGGGGGTAGCAGATACAGGAGACTCTCGATCTCACGGGAAAACGCTCTCCCCTAAACACACACAGGTACACACACACTCCTACTTACACACACTCGGCACACACACACACTCTCGCTAACAAAATACAAAGATCCCCCGTATAGCCTTAACAGACTGTTGGGGCAAGTGCTGTTAGCAAGCACCTATGAAAGCCGGCACGGCACACGAGGTGGGTAGCCAGTACCACGCCCGGCCGCCTTTGTCTCCCGAGTGGAGATGTTTAACACGCCGCACCAGGTACTCATTTGAGGCTCAGTCGACCTAGGGGATGCCCAGGACACTCTCACACACTCTAAAATAAAAACCCAATGTAGCGGCAAGACACTCCTGCAAAAAATCGCAACGATTGAGTATGGCTTTCATGGAACAATAAAACATACATTGAATACGTCTGTGCAGTGATGGCATTAAGAACGTATTGTATTTTACCAGCTAAGGCCCACACTGAGCAACTCGGCTACTACAGATAGCTCAACAAAGTGGCTTATCACGTGGACATTTATGGCAGGCAAATATTCTAAAAGAGATGAGAGTTTACCACGTTTCATGATTGTATTAAGGTAATACGAGCTTGGTGTAAGGCGACGGGAGGAAATTCCCAAGTGTTGGTGGCTACTTAGAGTTGTTGGGCCTGCGCCCAGCTACTTCTCACCACGTGGCGCCACTATGCAGATTCTTTAATCCCATTCCCAGCTCGCTCTCGTTCATAGATTCTCACGACGATAAAAAAAACAACTCCTTAACTCTGTGTGCCCTTAAATGGAAAAGTTTACAATAAGCGATGTTTCGGGCAATGTCCCTTACTTAAATCACGTTTCGGGAGATTGTCTTTCATCTATGATTTCACTGAACATGAATATTATCATGTTATATATAGCCGTACATTATGTCTCCTTTCAAGGCCACACGCGGTGTTACCGACGAGTCCCTGGATCATGTTCCTGTGCAGCGCTGTCCCAAAAGCCGTAACATCACCAGATGATTCATTTACTGCAGACAAGCGCCCACCAATACCTCGAGACTACTTTTACAGCCGCTTGTTCTGACAACCACCTCTCTTTCTCTCTCTCACACACGCACGCACAATCATTATCACAATCATAATAATTATTATAATAAACTATCTCTCCACAGAGACTCGCAGATCGCCGCCGCACGTGGTCTCGGGGCCTAGCCACGCGGGACACGGCGCGGCGTTCCCAGCCACGCCGCGCGAACACAAATCACTCGTGGCGATGCCTATTCACTAAACTGCAAGACGGGAGGGAGGGAGAGAGAGAGTTAAAGGAATCGAGCAGGAGAGGCGACTCACCCCAAAACATGTTGCCCGTGAGTTGCAGGCGACGCAGCGGCAGTCGGGACGAGGCGGCGCGCTGCACCCTCTCGACACGAGGCGCGAGCAGAATCGGATCGACGACGCGGCGGATGTATCGATTCCGGCACAATCGATTCCCGACTCGGTCGACTCCAGCTCGGTCGATTTCCCGACTCGGTCGATTCGAGCTCCGTCGGCTCTAGCTCGGTCGATTTCCAGTATCAATTCCGTTGCAGGTTGAGCCCCTGCTCACTTCCCACCCTCGTACAATAGTTCATAGTTTCATTTATTTTGGTAGAGCCCTGTGAGCCATTCGGCTCTTGAATCGGGTGCAACCGCAACAAACAAAAAACATGAACAAGAAAACATCTTAAAGTGATTATGTGACTGTGCAAACAGAAAATACATGAAAAAAATATCAAAATATTCCTGAAATAGCACCGTACACCAACGCTGTGTGCAAAAATCCCAGTGGGATGCAAGTCAAAAATAACAACAACAACAACCACAAGACAACTAAGATTAAGGCCATCAGTCTAACTCCGTACTACAATAAACAAAAACATGGACAAAACAAAAAACAACTTTTCGAGATCACCAAAATAAAAGCCATAAATCCAATGTAACAGTGATCATAGGGACTGTGACCGAATTTTTAACAATAAACTACGTAAATAAATTATAACACCAAAATCTAGAGCCATATTTTAGGCCACTGAATAGCAGTGGCAGCTAGGGTTGTACAACTCCTCTAGAGCAGTTTTGAGTGAAGATCTCATAGGTAGTGATTCAAGTTGCAGTTTATTGGCAATAGCATTCCAGACCCTGGGGGCATCAATAGCAAAGCCCTTCCTCCAGTTTTTGTACGGCAATAGGGAATGCGAAGCTGGTAAATGAGCGAAGACCTGAGGTCAAATTTGTTCTTTGAAACAGAGAGGAGATCCAGTAGGTAGTCTGCAGAATTTTTTGTAAGTACATCGTGAATAAATAAGATCTGGTGCACAAGCCGTCGAACATTAAGAGATGTTAAGTTTGACCCAATGTAGAGATCACAGTGGTGAGTCCTATATGGGCAGTTCAATGCAAATCTTAAGGCCGAGTGATAGATGGAATCAAGCTTCTTCAGGACAGTACTTGGGGCTGATTAATACACGATGTCACAGTAGTCAAGTAGAGGCAGTATGGTAGCTTTTATCAATTCCAAACGGAACATTGGGGGGAAGCAGTGCTTGTGTCGATACAGAAAACCAATTTTAATTTTTGTCTTTTTACCAATATAATCAATGTGATCTTCAAAACTAAGTTTTGAATCCAGGATGACCCCAAGATACTTATAGATCTTGACTTGCTCTATTTGATAATTATTCAAGGAATGTAATTGGGGAAAAATAACTTCCTGCTTTAGTCCCGGAGAGAAGCATAGCACCTTGGTTTTGGAGGTATTCAGGACTAGTTTAAGAGAAACTAGCTGATGTTGTAGTTTGTTGAAATCACCCTGGAGCTTAGCAATCACGTCATCCGGAGAGCGGCCAGCAGTAATCAGTATCGTGTCATCTGCAAAAGATTTACCCTGGAATGATCCAGTTAAATAAATAAATATACACACGGCACATACATACACACATACATACACACAACACCACACACAACAATCACATACATACACACATACATACACACATACATACACACAACACACACAACACCACACACATACACACACACAACACACACAACAACAACAACCGCCATTCGCCACTAAGTGGCGGTGACGTCACCACGACGCTTGTGCCAGGCTATGTGCACCCTGAGGCCACGTGAAGTGTCGAACGCTGGCTGGCAGGTCACGGGGCAGACCCAGGTGCCCACGGGTCGACTGACTGAGATGACTGAGATCACTGGCTGATGCACCACCTGTGCCCCCTACTGTGCCAACCTGCTGTGCTTTAGCCACCCGGCGCTCCGCTCGTTGTTGTGAGCGTCGCTCCTCCGCCCTCCGTTGTTGTTGGAGGGCGACTGCCTCCAACTGCCCATGAACGTCCTTCACGAGCCTCCTCCACAGAGGCCGATCTTGACACCGCTGGTACCAGTCATCGGCAAGTCCACTCAGCTCCACGTCCTCCTGTACCACATCACTCCATCTCTTCTCTAGCCCGTGCCGCGCCCGTTTAGCCCCCCTCGATCCGGCCGAACAAAAGCTGTTTCGGCATGCGGTGGCTGGACATGCGGGCTACATGATCCAGCCAACGCAGCCTTACCTGCCGGAGGAGCTCACCGATGGGACCTTGCCCAGATCTTTCAAGGATTTGTGAGCTCCTCACACAATGCAGCCTGCTGGTTAAACCCAGGATGGATCGTAGGCAGGCCAGCCTAAATGTTTCTAACCGGCGAAGATGTTCCATTAGGGGGTCCACGTTTCGCAAGCGTAGAGAAGGGAGGGAATGACCGTGGCCGAGAAGACCTGAAGCTTAGTGCGGAGCGACAGACCAGGTAGCTTCCACACAGCGTTACGCAACCGATGAAAAGATATTGCCCCTCGACTGATTCGGAGTGAAACCTCTGCTGTTAAACTGGAGCCGTTTTTCTAAACTACGAATACATACACACATACATACACACAACACACACATACATACACACAACACATACATACACACAACAACACCAACCGCCATTCGCCACTAAGTGGCGGTGACGTCACCACGACACTTGTGCCAGGCTATGTGCACCTTGAGGCCACGTGAAGTGTCGAACGCCCGCCGGCAGGAGGTCACGGGGCAGACCCAGGTGCCACGGGTCGACTGACTGAGATGACTGGCTGAGCCTCCTCCACAGAGGCCGATCTTGACACCGCTGGTACCAGTCATCGGCAAGTCCACTCAGCTCCACGTCCTCCTGTACCACATCACTCCATCTCTTCTCTAGCCCGTGCCGCGCCCGTTTAGCCCCCCTCGATCCGGCCGAACAAAAGCTGTTTCGGCATGCGGTGGCTGGACATGCGGGCTACATGATCCAGCCAACGCAGCCTTACCTGCCGGAGGAGCTCACCGATGGGACCTTGCCCAGATCTTTCAAGGATTTGTGAGCTCCTCACACAATGCAGCCTGCTGGTTAAACCCAGGATGGATCGTAGGCAGGCCAGCCTAAATGTTTCTAACCGGCGAAGATGTTCCATTAGGGGGTCCACGTTTCGTAAGCGTAGAGAAGGGAGGGAATGACCGTGGCCGAGAAGACCTGAAGCTTAGTGCAGAGCGACAGACCAGGTAGCTTCCACACAGCGTTACGCAACCGATGAAAAGATATTGCCCCTCGACTGATTCGGAGTGAAACCTCTGCTGTTAAACTGGAGCCGTTTTTCTAAACTACGAATACATACACACATACATACACACAACACACACACATACATACACACAACACATACATACACACAACAACACCAACCGCCATTCGCCACTAAGTGGCGGTGACGTCACCACGACGCTTGTGCCAGGCTATGTGCACCTTGAGGCCACGTGAAGTGTCGAACGCCCGCCGGCAGGAGGTCACGGGGCAGACCCAGGTGCCACGGGTCGACTGACTGAGATGACTGGCTGATGCACCACCTGTGCCCCCTACTGTGCCAAACATACACACAACACACACATACATATACACAACACACACAACACACACATACACATACATACACACATACACACACATACATACACATACATACACACAAGACCACCACACACAACACCACACAACACCAGACAACACACAACACCACACAACACCACATAACACCACACAACACCACACGACACCACACAACACCACCACACACAACACCACACAACACCACACAACAACACCACACAACAACACCACACAACACCACACACAACACCACACAACAACACCACACAACACCACACACAAGTTTTATTACAGTCAGCTTTCATTCACAGTTTTATTACCGTCAGCCATCATTCACAGTTTTATTACAGTCAACTTTCATTCACAGTTTTATTCCAGTCAGCTTTCATTCACAGTTTTATTACAGTCAGCTTTCATTCACAGTTTTATTACCGTCAGCCATCATTCACAGTTTTATTAGTCAACTTTCATTCACAGTTTTATTACAGTCAACTTTCATTCACAGTTTTATTAGTCAACTTTCATTCACAGTTTTATTACAGTCAGCTTTCATTCACAGTTTTATTACCGTCAGCCATCATTCACAGTTTTATTACAGTCAACTTTCATTCACAGTTTTATTACAGTCAGCTTTCATTCACAGTTTTATTACAGTCAGCTTTCATTCACAGTTTTATTACAGTCAGCTTTCATTCACAGTTTTATTAAGTCAGCTTTCATTCACAGTTTTATTACAGTCAGCCTTCATTCACAGTTTTATTACAGTCAGCCATCATTCACAGTTTTATTAGTCAACTTTCATTCACAGTTTTATTACAGTCAACTTTCATTCACAGTTTTATTAGTCAACTTTCATTCACAGTTTTATTACCGTCAGCTTTCATTCACAGTTTTATTACAGTCAACTTTCATTCACAGTTTTATTACCGTCAGCCATCATTCACAGTTTTATTACCGTCAGCTTCCATTCACAGTTTTATTACAGTCAGCTTTCATTCACAGTTTTATTCCAGTCAGCTTTCATTCACAGTTTTATTACAGTCAGCTTTCATTCACAGTTTTATTACCGTCAGCCATCATTCACAGTTTTATTAGTCAACTTTCATTCACAGTTTTATTACAGTCAACTTTCATTCACAGTTTTATTAGTCAACTTTCATTCACAGTTTTATTACAGTCAGCTTTCATTCACAGTTTTATTACCGTCAGCCATCATTCACAGTTTTATTACAGTCAACGTTCATTCACAGTTTTATTACAGTCAGCTTTCATTCACAGTTTTATTACAGTCAGCTTTCATTCACAGTTTTATTACAGTCAGCTTTCATTCACAGTTTTATTAAGTCAGCTTTCATTCACAGTTTTATTACAGTCAGCCTTCATTCACAGTTTTATTACAGTCAGCCATCATTCACAGTTTTATTAGTCAACTTTCATTCACAGTTTTATTACAGTCAACTTTCATTCACAGTTTTATTAGTCAACTTTCATTCACAGTTTTATT